TAATAATATTACTTTTAATTATTATATAATTAAATTATTATATTGTTATTATAATAAGTTAATTTAATATTATTAAAATTTTATTTCTGCTTTAATTTGCGATATTCAATTTAATTCAATTTATATTGATGCACACATTGTGTAAAGTAGATAATGCGAAAAAAAATATTTTTAAAATAATTTTAATAAATCTTTTCTCTTATATAAAGAATGCAAGAATTATATCATATATAAATTATCGCTATCAAATGCGACTGATACAACATGGCACAATTAAGTATAAATATCCTCGTCAATCACACACGATGTATTTAATATCTTCTGTATCAAGATTCAATTGATGTTTATCAAATTATTGTCTTAAACGAGTACATTTCAAGGAAATTGAGATAATTACACCGAGACTGAAAAATAATTTTGTAGAATTTAGATCAATAGAATAATAATTAAACAATAAAGTATTTAGTTCCGTGATGTACGTAATATTAATATTTATATAAAATTGCATAGAAAATGTAAATAATGTAAAGATAACTATGTATAGGATGTAGTAATAGTCCTAACATTATCAGACAAAATGATTATTCACTTAAAATAATAGCTCTATCTAACAATATGAAGTAATCTCGTATATTACCTACTTCCATTCTTTCTGTATAATTCTGCTCTGTAGGAATTATACAGAATTAAACAGAAAAGTACAACAGTTACCAATAATTTCTACAGTCAAATCACATTATTTTATAAAAATGCATTTAAGAAATATATACATCAACAATTTTATCAATGTTGTAAATACATTTCTCTTTAAAAAATTTATGCACTTAGTAACAGCATATTTATTAATTTTTAATACAAAACAACTTGACACAAATTGTCAGCAAAAAATATCAGTCATAACAAATTATTTATTCAACCAAACGTTAAAGTATGAGGAATCATTTTGCTTTAGTCGACAAAAAGTATGTTATATTAAGATGTGTTATTTTGCTGAGTGTTATTATGCAAATATTTAAGCTATGTTTTAATATACACTGCTAATACTAAAAATCTACAGGATTATTCATTTTAACCTTATCACGTAAAAATTTTGGAAATATAGAATTTTTCCAAGAAATATTCCAAATAAAAATTTTATGATATACAAGGTGACGTACAACGGGTTTTGTTTGGAATTTTTTTTTTAAGGTAAAATTGCATATTTTCAAAAAATGTTGCTCTATTAATATTAAAATAAATTATCCTGTACAACATCATTTGTAATAATATAGAGATGTAAAAAAAAAACAGTATTTTTGACTTCAGAGAAAAGTATCAACTAAAAAACTAGTTTTTTTAATTGTAAATAATAATATTTTTGACAAAATTACATAAAATTCATGAGAAAATGTATAGTTATTTCAATATAACTATTTGAACGACAGATATTTTAAAATATTATTTGTATTAATAACAGTATGGAACACTTATTTAACTTTTAAAATTGAAGTACAGTATAAAATATCATTCAAATAATAGTAAGGTATATTTATAGTCCTCGACATTATACTATATTAATCATTATACTATATTTTAACTTTTGTAACTATTTCCACACAGAAACTTATCTTACGGATAAGTGCAAAAACTAAATTCTGAAACAATAGTACAACATCGAAATCGTGAAATCGTTTTAAAAAAAATATCGGAGTAAAAAACTATCAAAGCCGATGGAAAAAAATCCATTATTTCCTGAGTTCTTTAGCTTAAAATTCTAAAATTTTTCCATCATTTACATCTCTAAATATAAACTTATAATAATGTGCATAGATTTTCATGTGCATATAGACTTTTATGTACATAAACCTTACTGGCAATGTACAACGCGCAATTAGTTGCATGAACGAGTTACATTGAACATTAGAAAGTCGGCAGTTTGAAAATAGAAATAGGAAGGATAACAAGTACTCAAGTCTCAGCTCATTCTTCCCATGAAAGATCAATCTTTAAACAACAGAGGTTCGTTCTATCAGAATCCTTTTTTATAAATATAATAAAAAAATATATGTACTCTGTGTTCAAAACTTTTAATCGTCGTATAAATTGCCTATCTTTATTTCTTTTACTGACTGAATAGTAAAACATGGCTACATGAATCATTGCCATTTTATGTTTTATTGCTTAGTGTAACTGTAACACAACGATATCAAATGTAATCGTCAAAATGGTAACTACTGTGTCGCAGAATTATACAGATTATATTCCAAAATATCAAAAAGTAAAATAAAATTCCTATCTTATTTAATTATCTATTAATATAAAGAGCATAAAGGCCAACGCTAAATTTTATTGCAAATCGAAACACATTTATAACGTTCTGATTTGCAATAAGATATTGGCTTTTATGTTTTTTTATATTATATAATAAACTTTAATTTTTCGATGACATGAACGGAGAAAACAAAATTTTTTCTTCAAATATATTACAAAATATAACATTTTTTAAAATGCTTTTTTAATCATTATGATATAATTTTTTTACTGCGTTATAATGATATAAAATAAGTAATTTTTTCAAATATTTTTTTCTAAAAACTTGTATTTGCAGTCACATAAGTAATCTATCGCAAAAATTTGAGATGCTTACACTTCTATTAGTACTTTATATCTTCATATTTAAAAAATATTTTTAAAAAATGGAAACTTTCGATATAAAGATTTTACTTCTATAAATTTACTATACACGTAATTCGTAACAACTTTATAACAAATAAAATTTAATTATCACGAAATTGTAATCATCGCGAATTTATGACGTACATTCGAAATAATAACGCGTATAGTACATATAAAAGAAAAGTAAAATCTTTATGTCAAATATGTTTGCATTTTTTTGTAATAGAAAATAATTTTCAAAAATGCAGTCAGTTCAAATTGTTGCAGCAGAACGGCACGATGACAAATAAAGGTTTTTAGAGAAAAGATTAAAAATACACTACTTACTTTAAATTGTCATTAAAGAAAAATTGTAAAATAATGATTAAAACAGCATTTTAAAAAGGTTTTCCGATACAATTAAAGAAATTTACAACAAAAATTTTCCCCGTACATGTCATCAAAGTTAAACTTCAATTTTTCAAAGCTCAAGCTCTAAACACAATGCGAAACAATAATAACGATACAGCAATAATGATAGAAATAATACTAGTGATAAAAACAGAAGAATCCAAGATTCGGAAATGCATATGTCAATGCACATAGGAATACAGAATAAGGTAATGATATTTCAACGAGTTGGAAACTATATCTTATAACCTACCAAGTGTTCAGATTTTTCATTTTATTTATGTATATGCTATAATCATAAAGCAGATAGGAAATGTAGTTTATACGCAATCAAATTGGTTGGCCTTTTTATTTCTTTTGCTGCATTATGCAACAAGAGCGATAAATATATCGCTTATATATTTCTATACTGTTCCTATCTCTGCTTTTGTCGCTCATATAATTATCTAGGATTTCATTTTTAAGTTAGTGCTATATGTAATAAAGTCATAGCAGCAACATGAAGTTTCAAGCATTCGAAAGATGAGGTTTCAAGCTTTAAAACGCTTTTTTATACATTCTTCTGCGATGATTTTTTGCAAAAAATACATAATTTTGAATTTGCTTCTTTTAGTATCGACTTTAAGTAATTCCCTGATTTTTCAAGTGTATTTTCTAAACCCCTCAAATCTTTTTTAACATATTTATAAACAGATGGAGTTCTTTACTTTTATATTAGAGCTCCAAAAATCCTTTGCACGACCCTGGTTCCAACCTTCTATCGGTTGCACGCACAGAAGCTTTATGACTTGTTAGCTGATTAGATTTTACCGATTTACCTCGTGGAATTCGGACAAACAAATCATTTAACATAGCTTATTCACGTAAGTGATAATCGCCAATTGCTAGAAAGCAAATTTCATAAGTCAATGTTTAACGATTATGTAATGCCGATTTCTAGAGATTCGTTTTTCTTCCGGGAAAAAATCTAATTGCATAAATTGGAAATCTGATAAATTTAATCAAAAAAGCATAATTTTAAATAAATTAGCTTTTAATTTCAACTGATTATTTTATTATGTGTAAAATATTTTAATTGGTTGTCTAAGTTAATATCTTTTATCTTTGAATGCCATTTCTTTTTTTATCTATAGAATTTTAAACATTAAATAATTAGACAATTAAAGAAGTTCAATGTCTTGTTATTGCAAGATTACTTGTATTTCTTTCAAGTTTTAAAAAAAGAGAAAATAAGAAAAGTTTATTTAAAAGCATATTTCGTTAATATTTCGTTAGAATTTTATTTAAATATAATGTATAGGTTCTATACATTATTCTATTCTTTTATGATAATTATTATCAATCTAATAATCTTTATCTATATTATTAGACAAATAATTAAACGAATTTATCTTCTATTAAAAAATAAATTTAAGAAATTAAAGAAGATAACTATTTATTCAATTGTGAGCGTCATATACATTAATCAAAAATAATATATTTCTTTTATGGTATTCTACACAATTTTATATAAATATTCTTAGAATTCATATTGTAATTGCTTTTTCTCATTTAGAGTAATATAATTTCAAAATTACATTTTACTTTAATATAAATAATGCTTTCTGAAATTAACTTTTAATTTAACTTCAGTTGATTTAATCTAAACTTTTAATTAAATATTTTTGTTCATACATGTAACTTTTAATGTAACTAAGTTAATTTTATAAATTATTAATAATTAACTTTAAAAGAAACAATTATTTCTGATTCAATGCCGTCAAATATATATTTATAATTAAATCTGCCAAATATTCTGACCGAGATAATTAGAAATTTAATTATGTAACCAATATTCTGATTGATATGATCAAAATGCATTCTGTTAATATAACTTCTTGTTATAATCAATATATTTTTCTAGTGCTTCTCTAGCTCAGTGCCCAATCAAGAAAAATAGTGGAGTATCAGTGACGAGGATGAATATCCTCTTATCAGTGTTTCGCTAATGTCTGCGAAAAAAGCAACAAGCTGATCCAGTCTCGATTTGAAGCTCCGACCGTGATAAACCCATCCAATAGCTTCAGTCGCGTGGTGGAGCCCATTACCATCGCGCGTGGAGCATTAACAACGAATTCACGATTGTTTCAGCCTAGAAGATAAAGACTACCGCCGCCGTTTCCACCACCATCGTTGAACAGACCAGCCGTTCATGCAATGTGTCATTGAATTTTGAATCACTATTGACAGTGTCGTTGGAGTGTGCAACGTGCTTCACGCTCTTATTTTTCGTTCCGTTCTCAACATACGGAAAAAATGGCATGCGAGGAGAAGACGGTCGAGAAAATCGAGCTGAAGAGAGAGCTGGGGCTCTTCAGCGCGGTCAGCATCATTCTGGCGGTAATGATAGGTGAGATACGATTGTTGACTATGAAAATCTATAAATTTCCCGTGGATACGTAAATCATAAATTCTATCGTCGTCTGTAAACACGATTTGATCTCTATCAGATTTTATCTCTCACTTGCCATTTGCATTGAATAAATTAAACATTATGTATTGTACGAGTACACGTTTTATTCGCGCGTGCGATGCTCTCGTGCTGCATTTCGCGAATTTGATAGAAATTATGAGAATGCAACACAAATTACAACAGTATAGACGATAAAAATAATAATTCATGACACATTATTTTTTTATTTTTATTCGCGGATTCTCGAGTGTCGATCTCTGACACTCCCATTCGTAATCGCGCTCGTGCGATAAATCGTAATGCAACACAAAGAAGGCCAGATCTCAGACGTTCAAATCCGCAGTATCGTGCTAAAAAAAGATTCGGCGTGATGCACGCTTTTATTGCAAGTCACGAAAATTATTTTTATTCAGCACTGTTCAGCGATACAATAAATAATTAACCATTAACCATTGAACCTAATTTCGTAGTCCTAAATAGTATATTATAATAGTAATATAATCGTTTTTATTAGTACGCAAATAAAAAGAATTATGTCAAAAGCGATGTAAGAATAATTTGTTTTTCCACTAAACCGAGGAATACCATTTGTGTCAAGATCATTTAACAATGTCGAAAGTAATTATGTGTGATGAAAATGAACAAAAATATTATTACCCAAATTATTCATTAATTCTTTGTATAGATGTATTCCTCAATAAAAAACATATAGAATATATTCCAAAAATTTTGAACAGAGAATGGCAGTACGCGTCGCTTTCGAAATTTGTTTTCAATCTTTATTGTTCATCACATATATACAACACATACTAAATTGTTATTGTGACAAAGTAATGATAAATAATAATAAAGTTGAAAACAAGTTTCGAAAGCGACACATACTTCCATTCTCTGTTCAAAATTTTTGGAATATGTTTTTTAAAGGTATAGTCCTTGCGATTTTTTATGATGGTAATGATAACACCAGAGTTGGAAAAATCAAAATGTTATTTGTTACAGGTTAAAAAGATCACTGATTACTAAAAAAAGTACTTTTTATTTAACAATACAACTTAAATTTTTATTCGTACTTTATATTTGTAACTAGTTACATTTATTCATTATTTGCAAAAGTCATAAAAAAGCGCGTTAATGCATTACAAGTTACTTTTTATTATTTTTAGTAAATATTAATATGTAGTATTATATTAATACATCGTAATGATGTAATAATTAACTAATTTATCAATATAGTAAAAAAATTATAACATCATTATTAAATTATTATTATTATAAAAAGTAACGGTAATAATTTTTTTAGTAATAGTAATTTTTCCATTCCCTTATTTTGAATATTCTATTTGTCTTTTTCTCTCTTTTTTCAACTTTTTTTCAAATGGGAGATTATAATATTATATTATATTCAATTAATTACATTCTTCAAAAGAAATTCTATAAATGGAAAACAAAAGAAACCTTGCCTAAAATTTGATTAGAAAAACATGTTAAAAATACCATACAATAAAATAAGCAGAAGCACGCGATACATAAAATTTAATTAAAAAATTGACTGTCTGATTTTGAAAATTAAAGAATACATTCATATATTTATTTTATAGAAAATAAATATAATCAATTCGTTTTAATCTCTTTGAGTTTCGTGATGATCAAATTTAAAACAATATAATATATTATATATCTGTAGGAAAGTCACTGCCTTTTGTCTGTGTGGGAATAAAATAATCTTGTTATGTTTTTGTTTTAATCATTCATAGAGCGGTGAAATGTATCATGTATATGAGTATCACGAAAGTTACAGGCTTGTAGATAATACATAATCTCAAAAACATTTATCAATATTTTAAAGAGGCATAATAAATATAATCAGAAATGGTATTCTCCGAACTATAGCCTTTAGTGCAAGATAGCAATTCAGAAGTAGTTAGCAGCAGTTACATAATTGTATAGACCCAAATAAGATACCGCTTTATTCATTGAAGCCCTTGCTTTTAACAGTTGATTGACGGTGACCGAATTGCTTTCTCAAGCGTTCTTAAATACCGGGTGTTAAAGTAAAAAATATAAGATCGTATGTTCCTTAAAACCAATAAAAAAAGTTATATCATAAAGTAAAGAATTTATAGAAAAATCAACACAGCAGCATAGACAGAGTAATGAAGTTTGATGCTCGTTTCTATCAATGTAGATTAACTTTAATCTCGGTTCAATTCTTACAACTAGAAAAAGATAAAGAATTATCTTTAAAAGATAAGAAGAATTGTTGAATCCAACTTAAAATTAAACTATATTGGTAAAAACGATAACTCAGCTAAATATTTCTAAATTAGAACATCAAACATTTTCACATGGTTTAATTACTCAAAAATTTAGTAAAAAATTTCTCACATTCTTCGAGTGTTATCTTACCGACAGATCTTATCTTTTATCTGTTTTAAAATCTTCAAAGAATTTACAGAGACGAGGATTAACTACTGATATTATATCTACAATCAAATTATATTATCCGATATTATAACATTGCAACTAAGTAGCACAATTAGATAATGTCATGTTTGTCTCTCATCGCGATTATCTCGATATTAAAAATCCTAATAAAAATTCTTAATGATTTATTAATATAGAAAAACTTATAATATAGAAAAATTTTATATCACGCAGCTTCCAAATTATCTAAATATTTTCTCAATGATTAACAGACTAATGACCTGTTGACACTGGCCAACAAATATTTTGTTTATCAACGTAATAATTATATACGACTAAAATCATCGAAAAGGTTAATCGAGATTAATCGATCATTCACGTCATGGGACATTAGTTAGTTACTGTGACTGACTCCGCCGAATAATACCGATTGTGAATTGCTATTAACTACAATCTCTATTGTACAGGTTCCGGCATTTTCGTATCACCAACCAGCGCTTTTGAGCGATCAGGATCTGTAGGATTTTGCTTAATCGTTTGGATCAGCTGTGGCGTGCTGTCTCTATTAGGTGCATTGGCCTTCGCCGAATTGAGTACCGTGGTACCACGTTCTGGTGCCGAATATGCATATTTCATAGAAGCCTTCAAGCCTTTGCATCCATATGCCGGTCAGGTGCCAGCGTTCATCTGTTCTTGGATCTCTGTGATACTGTTACGACCGGCAGAAGTAGCAGTAATTACATTGACTTTCGCGGAGTATAGCGTGCAGCCATTTTCCGGATATCTTTGTAATCTATCCAGCGACTCTATGACAACGCTGAAGAAACTTATAGCGATTATGGCATTGAGTTTGATAACATATATTAATCTCATCAGCGTCAAACTCTACGTAAAAGTGCAGAATGTGTTCACTGTGTGCAAAGTAGTTGCATGTATGGTAGTAATTATCGGTGGAATATGGTGGCTGAGCACAGGTCACGTAGAACTTCTCAGTAATCCTTTTCATGGTACTACTACGTCAGCTGGCAATATTGCTCTGGCCTTTTACAGCGGTCTCTGGGCATATGACGGATGGACTGCGACCGCGATGATTACTGAAGAAATCCAGAAACCCGAAGTCAATATTTTTCGGAGCACGCTCATCGCGGTCCCCGTCATCACCATTCTATATGTATCCATGAACTTGATGTATATGGCAGCGTTGACAATGTCAGAGATGAAGAGCGCACCAGCGGTGGCAGTAGTTTGGGCTGACCGGGTTCTGCCGTCTTGGATGAGTTTCGCAATACCACTCGGTGTAGCGTTATCAACTTTTGGATGCGCTCTTAGTATTCAATTCAGCGTGGCCAGATTGTGCTTCGTTGCCGCCAGCGAGGGCCATGTACCACGAGTCTTCAGTTACGTACACATCGAGAAGATGACACCGGCTCCAGCAGTGATTTTGCAAAGTATTCTCTCACTAGCATGCCTGCTGTTAGGCGATATAATCGCCTTGATCGAGTTCGCTAGTTTTCTTATGTGGCTATTCTATGGATTAGCGATGATATCGCTTATAATTATGCGACGGACCAAAGCAAACGCTCCTAGACCATACACTGTACCTATTGTGATACCTTGGCTGATATTAGTGGTTTCAATCTTTCTTACAGTGCTTCCGATAGCTTACGAACCATCGATAAAATATTTATTCGTACTTATATTCGTCTTGTGCGGTCTTGTCGTATACCATGTATTCGTGTACAAGAAAATAGGAAATACCTTATCAGGTGAGTATAATAGGATAAAAAAATATATAGGAACCTCTTACATAAGAGATTTATATATCATTGACACCAAACATAGTTTGCTTCATTTATCATGAAATAAAATTTGTTTTTGTCTTTTTTCAGCCAAGCTAACATATGTCATGCAAATGTTATGTCTAGTCGTTGCTCCAGATAAAAAGGAAGACTGACCAAATATTTTTGAATCCATCATTG